GGGGGTGCGGGGGACAGGTGGGGCGCGGCGGGGTCCTGGGGGTGCGGGGGACAGGTGGGGCGCGGCGGGGTCCTGGGGGGTGCCATGCGCAGGTGGGGTGGAGGGGCGGGGCCTGTGGGGCTGCGTTCCGGAGGATGTGGGGGGCCTCCTTTCCATCCTCGCCCGTCCGCCTCGCACTCGGTTGGGGCGGGGAACCCCACATGTAGAGTCGGGGATTCTTCGGTCCGAGGGTGGCGCTGCCCGCCCGCGTTTCCCCCACAGCCCGGCCCGCGGCCGTCAGTCCGGCCTGGGCCCCTGCGCAGCGGCTGAGGGCGGGTCTGTGCCCCGCTCTCCAGGCCCACGCGTCCTGCTCCGCGGCGCTCGCCCCCGAGTGCGCGTTCGGGCGCCTGCGCAGCATGGTCCTGCCCCCGGGGTGCGTGCGCCTGCTGTCCCGCAACTTCAGTAAGACGCACTGCTTCCGCATCCCCGAGAGCCCGGGCCCGGAGCCAGGTGAGCGGGACGACGGCGTGGACGGAGGCGGCCCCGCCAGCCTGGGCCGCGAGGTGCTGCCACCGGAGTCCAGTAAGTGCCTCTCAGCTGGGCCTGGCGCCCGCCCCCGCCCCTCACGCCGTCACCCGTGCTGTGCCCGGCCCTGCCCTTGCCCCCCCGCCCCCCGGAATCGGATGCACTTCTCTCGCGCCCAGGCAAGCAGACCCTGAAGATCTTTGACGGCAACGATGCCCTGCAGCGAAACCACTTTCGCGTCATCACTGTCCCCCGCCTGGCCAGGAGCGAGGAGGTGCTGGTAAGAGCCCCCACGGGGCCCGCTCGTGGGAGCGCTTCGTGGCGTCCACGGCCCTGGCTCCTGTCCACATCCGGCCCCCACCCCGCAGGAGGCGGCGCTGCGGGCTTACTACGTCCCCGAGGACCCTCGAGACTTTGAGCTGCAGGCGCTGCCCCAGCCCGTGCCGACCGGTGACACCGGGGCGCGGGGAAGGCCCTGGAGCGGAGGGATTGCAGAGGAGGAGGGCGGCAGAGGCCCTGGCGCCCGAGAGGCCGTGCCCGAGGCCTGGATCATCCGCGCCCTGCCCCACGCCCAGGAGGTCCTGAAGGTCTACCCTGCCTGGCTCAAGTGAGACCCAGGCCCGAGGCCCAGGGTCCGCCAGCGGGAGTCGGGAGGGGCGGGGGCCGGGGGACCCAGGCTCCTGAGCGTGTTCCCTGCAGGGTGGGTGTGGCCTACGTGTCCGTCCGCGTGACCGCACGGAGCACTGCCCGGGCCGTGGTGCTGGAGGTCCTTCCGCTGCTCGGGTGCCAGGTACGTAGGCCGTGGGCCTGGCCAGCCTCCTGGGCCCGGCTGCCCTGTGTGAAGGTCCTGGGGGAGTGGGCAGTCCAGGCCTGACGCCCCAAACTCCGCCCTCCCCTTCCCCCGCAGGCCGAGGGTCCGGAGAGCTTCCAGCTGGTGGAGGTGCTCATGGGTAGCAGGCAAGGTGAGTGGGTGGCCTGCAGGCCACGCCTCCAGCGACCTGCCGCTTGGGCGCCCCCGGGTCTCAGCGGCACCCGGTGCTGACAGGCCCTGCCTCTCACCCTTGCAGTCCAGCGGACAGTGCTGCCGGACGACGAACCCCTGCTCCGCCGGCTTCGCGACATCCGGCAGGTCATTGGGTGTGAATGCGGGTCCCCGAGGAGCTGCCAGGCTTCGGCCGCGGCCTCTGCCTCACAGTGAGGGTCTGCCCCCAGGATGCCATGTTCATCCTGGCTGGCGGTGCCACCCCCGGGGCCTGGCAGGTCTGTCTGCGACCTAATGTCACCTGTTCCGGAAGGTGGGGTCTAGAGGCACAGACCCCCCCCCCGGCCCCGAGATGAGTGGCTTGTCCCAAGGGAGGAAGCCTGTGTGTTCTTCCTCTCCTTTTCTGTTCACCCCGGGGGCGGAGGGTGGAGGGGCCCGGCCGCGGGGTGCTGTCCCTAGTGCCCGGCTCAGCACCGCGCCCCCTCCCTGCAGACGTCCCTGCGGCAGATGAGCCAGACGCGGTTCTACGTGGCTGAGAGCAGAGCCGTGGCCCCGCACGTCTGCCTGTTTGTCGGTGGCCTGCCTCCTGGCCTGTCCGCCCAGGAGTATGGCAGCCTGCTGGACGAGGCCGTGGCCACCAAAGGTGTGGCTGCCCGGGCTGACCTGGGGCTGCTGGCTACTGGCAGCCGGGGTTCAGGGAGCAGGGCAGTGTGCCAAGGCCGGGTTCTCCTGTCCCCTCCTCCCCCGCTCCTCGCTGCCTGAGCCTTCGCCAAGCTGATTCCCACTCGATGGGTCTCCGTTCTCACCTCTAGGGCCCAGACTGCTCACCTCCGTCAAGGGGTTTCTGACTCCTGAAGTCCAGTCTCTGCCTTTCCTGCCCTTGGCTCTGACTTGGGGGCGGGGGGGGGTCCTTACTGGGAAGGCTGGGGGCTGGGAACCAACCTGCAGGCCAAGTGGCAGCAGCTTCGGCCTGAGAGAAGGGGCGGGGCTGCCTGGGGTGGCCGTGCTGAGCGGGCCGCACCCCGGGGGGCAGGGCCTCCCCTGACGGCAGCCTGTCTTTGCAGCCGGCCTGGTGTCCATGAGCCACGTCTACTCCTCCCAAGGTGAGACTCCTCCGTGGGCCGTGATCAGACTTGGCCAAAGGGCATTCCCTGCAGTTAGATGGAAAGGCCTGTCCTTGCTTTCGCGTTTCACTTTGCTTAGCACCTGACCTTTTTCTTGGGGAACCACAGGCGAGAGAAACATTTGTTTGTCCCTCCCCCTCCCCCCCCGCCACCCCTGCCTCCTGACTGTGACACAAGCTAAAACGTGACTGAGGCACAGACGACGTATTCTCCAAAACCTTTTCTGCCCTTGGGTTTGCATCTTTTTTTACGGAAACTTCAGGTCTACCCAGAAGGGGGAGGAGTCATTACCATGAGCCCCACATCCCTTCTGTGTTCTCAGTCGCATCACTGTTCTCTGTTCTTGTGGGCCCCCCCCACCCCAAAACATGGGTCCCAGTGGGCTCGGTGGCCCGGGGATGAGTGTCCCTAGCCACTCCACCCTGCCTCCTGCTGGTCTCCGCTTCACCCACCTACCACATCCTGTCCCTGAGCCTGGCCGTCTCTAAAGGTCCCACAGGGAGGGTGGCCCTGCATCATGTGGGTGCCGTCGGATGGCCAGAGCCCAGGTCCCTTCTGGCTGTGGGACGAGGTGAGGCTCTGGCCTGAGCCTACGCTGTACCTGCTGCAGGTGCAGTGGTGCTGGACGTGGCCTGCTTTGCGGAGGCTGAGCGGCTGTACATGCTGGTCAGGGACACGGCTGTGCAGGGCCGGCCGCTCACTGCCCTGGTGCTCCCAGATGTGCTGGTGAGTGGGTGCTGTGGGGCACACCTGGGGAGGCGTGGCTCCCACCACCAGTTTGTCTGACACGCAGAGTGGTGGCCAAATTCACACCAAGGGAGGAGCCTGAGGTCCCCGGGTGAGAGGCCTGCGTGGTGGCTGATGGGTAGAGGACCACAGGACTCGGCTCCTGCCCCATAGTGGCTGCCTCCTGAGGGCTGTGTGTGCAGATGTGCTGCCAGGCCCTTGCCTTCTCTGGGGTCGCTGGGTCCTGGCCCCACACCGCCTGCTTGGGAGGAAGCCTGGGGACCCCCGCTATCACACTGGGCTACCTCCTGCCAGTAGGGGGGGCTCCCTGACTTGGGAGGCTGTGTCCAGAAGGCTGAGCTGGGGGTGAGCACAGGGCAGGCCAGGCCGGGCCCCACCCGAGGCTCCGCACGTCTGCAGTGCCCTCTGGTCCTCAGCCCTGTTGGCCCCCAGGGTCCCACCAGAGGGGTTTGTGGCTGCCCTGTCCCTGTACCCTAACTCCTGACCCCTGACCACGTGAAGCAGAATTAGCGCAGAGTGACCTCAGTGTCTCTAACTGGGTGGGTGACTCGTCCTGGCTGCCCCCTCCGACCCTGAGCTCGGTCAGGACGGGGCGCCATCCCCGTCCTGATGAGGATGAAGCGTGTGCAGGTCAGGGCCTCCGAGAGCTGTCGCAGCCGGGTGGGAGGTGCCGACGCGCACTTGGTTTCCCGGCGGCTGCCTGCTTTGGGGTGAGCAGGTGACAGGACTCCAGGCAGCTTTCCCCTGTGGGTCACCTGTCACTCCCAAGCGGGTCCTTGGCCTTCAGCCATGGCCAGTCCTGTGCCTGTTACCCAGCACCTCCCACCGTGAGGACCCCAGACCCAGTGTAGGGACTCCAGTGCCCTTGCCACCCTCCCCACCGTGGGGGCCTCTGCCCCCTGCCATGGTCTCCAGAACACGATTTTGAGCTCGGTTTGTTGGGAGGTGGACATTCGCCCCCAGGAGGCCCGGGGCCTCTCTGTGACCTGGCTGCTGGTCTTTGCCGTGTGGGGCAGTGGGGGCCCTGGGAGCCGAATTCCCCCCGGGGGGGGGGGCGCCTGGTGGCTCCAGGAGGGGCAAGTGGAGACCCATGTGGGGGTCCAGCCTGGGCTTCTGGGCTGTGCGGGTCAAGCAGCGGGCATGATCTGGGGACGAGTGTCACAGTTGGTGTGGCGTGCCCTTGTGCTCAGAGCTGCAGGCTGGCGGGCCTCATTTCTGTTCCGCTCGCTGGCCAGCAACTCTGGGTGCCACCTTTGCCGAGGGGGGTGCCCTGAGCAGTCAGTAGCAAGGGGGGGTGGCCATGTGGGCCCCCGGGCCCCCAGTGTGCCCTCCTTGGGAGGGGGCTGGCTCCAGCCTGGAGGACTGTCACTGCCTGGACAGTGCCGTGGGGGACACCAGGCACTGCCTTCATGGGGCGGCCTTGAGAACCTGTCCTAACCCAGTTCCCCATCTGTCAGCACTTGAACCTGCCCCCAGACTGCTGCCCCCTTCTCGTGTTTGTGAACCCCAAGAGTGGAGGCCTCAAGGGCCGGGACCTGCTCTGCAGTTTCCGGAAGCTGCTGAACCCTCACCAGGTCTTTGAGCTGACCAATGGGGGGCCTCTTCCTGGGTGAGTATAGTGGTCCCCCGCTGTGCTGCTTAGTTCGGCAAGCCCCAGGAAGGGTGCCTGCACATGCTCGTGAGAGGCCAGAGGGAACAGTTTGGGTTTCCGTATCAGAACCCCCAAGGCCATTATGTGTGGGGGATGAGCTGCACCCCCCTTCTGCCCCAGGGTCGCTGCTCCCTGCCCCCACCAGCTGTGCACCTGCATGGGAATGGCTGGTGGTAGAGCACTTCCTGTTTCCCTGTTGCCAGGTTCCACATGTTCTCCCAGGTGCCCTGCTTCCGGGTGCTGGTATGCGGTGGGGATGGCACTGTGGGTTGGGTGCTCGCTGCCCTGGAGGAGATGCGGCACCGTCTGGCCTGCCCAGAGCCTTCTGTGGCCATCCTGCCTCTGGGCACAGGTGGGGTCAGCCAGAACATCCCATGTTTCAGTCAAGGCCGGGGGTGGGGGTGGGAGGGTGGTAGATGGGTGTGGAGGGTCAGTCTTCTCCTGCCTGTGTCCCAGGGAATGACCTTGGTCGGGTCCTCCGCTGGGGGGCGGGCTACAGTGGAGAGGACCCGTTCTCTGTGCTGGTGTCAGTGGACGAGGCTGACGCCGTGCTTATGGACCGCTGGACCATCCTGCTCGATGCTCAGGAGGCTGCAGGTGCAGAGAACAGCGTGGCAGACGTGGAGCCTCCCAAGGTATCCGTGTGCCCCGGTGAGGCCCCTGCAGGCGGCTCTGCCACATCTGTCCAGGGACTCATGCCTGTCCCTGCCACCACCTGGTGTACCTGCCAGTGCCATCCTGTTACCTGTCAGAGAGCAGTGACTTGCTGCGGACGTCTCAGGCTGGCTTCAATCCTTGCAGGCAACACGCGCCTTGCCTGCCTCCTCCTAGGTGCTGGTGGTCACTGGGCAGGGCAGTCACTGGACAGAAGCAGCCACAACAGGGACGGGGTTGGGCTGGAGACGAGAAGGCTGGACCCAGCTGGTGGGGGCTGGCCGGGGCCACACGAAACGGTCTTGTCCTCAGATCGTGCAGATGAGTAACTACTGTGGCATTGGCATCGACGCAGAGCTAAGCCTGGACTTCCACCACGCACGGGAGGAGGAGCCCGGCAAGTTCACGAGCAGGTGCCAGGGGAGCAAGGCTGGAGGCCTGGGGCTGCTCTTGGCCGCCCCCTGGTGATGGCTCACTTCCTGGGGTTGGCCGGCGGGAACCGGATAGGGGCTGGGATCTGGGGGCCCGCGTAGGCAGGTCGAAGGCGCCGCCTTGACGGTAGGTGTGCTCTTCCGCAGGCTCCACAACAAGGGTGTGTACGTGCGGGTCGGGCTGCAGAAGATCAGCCACTCGCGCAGTTTGCACAGGGAGATCCGTTTGCAGGTGGAGCAGCGGGAGGTGGAGCTGCCCAGCATTGAGGGTCTCATCTTCATCAACATCCCCAGGTGCCAGTGGCTGGGGCTCTGGCCTCAGGTGGGGCTCCAGGCCCTGGTGCGGCCCCCCTCACCTGTGCGCCTTTCCCTTGGTGCAGCTGGGGCTCAGGGGCCGACCTGTGGGGCTCTGACAGCGACTCAAGGTTCGAGAAGCCACGCATGGATGACGGGCTGCTAGAGGTGGTGGGGGTGACAGGCGTCATGCACATGGTAAGTGAGGGCAGGCAGGCGGGCCCTGGTGTGGCCCCTCGGCCCACTGAGCCCAGCTGGCCTCTCCCCTCCCAGGGCCAGGTCCAGGGCGGGCTGCGCTCCGGCATCCGCATCGCCCAGGGCTCCTACTTCCGTGTAACTCTCCTAAAGGCCACGCCTGTGCAGGTAGATGGTGAGCCCTGGGTCCAGGCTCCCGGGCACATGATCATCTCAGCTGCAGGTCCCAAGGTACGACGTGGGGTGAGCTGGGAGGGGCCTGCGCAGCCGTGTGGTGGGCGTGGTGCCAGAAGGCCGTGGCCGTGCAGAATGGCCCGCTCTGGCAGCCAGTTGTTCTCTAATACTGGGAGGCCTGCCAGCCCTGAGGCCCCCTGGGCACCCAGACTGAAGATACAGCAGTGCCTCCCCCCCCCCCGCCCCCGCTTCTCCCCTACTCTGTCCCCTTGGGTGAAGTGGGCTGATAGCACCTGCAGCATCACCCAGCCCTCTGACCTGACTGGCCCTGGGACAGGTCCATATGCTCAGGAAGACCAAGAAGCAGCCCAGGAAGGCTGGGACCCCCAAGGATGCCCGAGCAGATGGGGTGCCTGTCCCTGAAGGGGACCCCAAGTAGCAGAGCACCCTGGAACAGTCTGCCTGACCAGCACCTGCTGCAGCCAACCATGGACGGACTTGCTCACGGCTCTGACTGCGGGCGTCTCCCCCTCATCCCTGTGACATGTGGAAGCTGCTGAGTGGGTGGCAGGTGTTTCTTCCCCTGGCCTCTGATGACAGGGTGGGCACAGGGCTTTGGCTGGCCAATGCTCTCGCCTCTCGGGGTCCAGGCCACCATCCTGGGTGGCAGGCACTTTTCCCTTTGCATCCACCCCTGCCACCACCTCTGAGCCTGCTGAGCTGGGCAGCACAGAGTCCCAAGCCATCCCCCCAGATGCTCCTACAGGGCAGCCAGCTCTGTGGGCCCTGGGTGTGCCCAGTACAGACTCACGACACCCTGGCCATGAGGGCTGGGCACGGGCACGTGCTGTGTCTCGGGGGAAGGTGCCTTCTTGTCCGGCCCCGCTGCTGTATGAGCTGCTTGGGCTGGAGGGCCCAGGCGTCTGGCTGGTGGCCCTGCGATGTGATAGGGTTGCACCTGGGGACACTCCCCGAGACCAGGCGGGCTTGGCCAACAGCCTGAAGACGGTGGGGTCGTGCCCAGGGAGCAGCAGAGTCGGAAGGGGCTGGGCCCTCACAACGGTGGGGCAGGGCGTGCCTGGAAGGGACCAGAAACACACTCAGGCAGGCCAGGGCCAGGAGACCCAGAGGAAGTTTACAAAGTATGAAGTGGGAGGAGCCAGCTTTAATCACCTGCTTGTCAACAATCAGTCCCAGTGTCTGTTCAGCTGACCAGGCTCCTGGGTCTCCGTGCTGCTGCTCGTGGGGACGGAGACGTGGCAGGAGGGGTGTGGGGCCGGCTTCCACCACGCAGAGTTCAGACGGCCCACGGCGTCTGGCCTCAGGCCCAGGAGGACGGTCTCCTGGGTCCCCCCGGGAGCTCGACCCCCTCCGCCCCTCCCGTCCCGGCTCTCTGCTGTTGGCGCCATCTGGCCGGGCTTGGCCCTGGCAGCCACGTCCCCCAAGCTTCTGCCAAAGCTGCACAAATGCACTGTAGTGGCCATTTGTGGCGAACACTCCTATCATGTGCCTCTGCACACGACTGTGTGTTGTGTCCTGTTGGTGTACTTATTTTGCTCTGTAGGCCTTGGTGTTGGTTTTGGTCTGTGGTTCTCTGTATGTGGTGGCCAGAGTGTCTGTCCTTCTGTATTTAAGTGAGTTTGTGTGGGCTCGGCACCAAGGCCGTGTGTGTACCTTGTCACTACCTGAATGTAACCATAATTTATACCCAGGACAAATACAGTCTGGGCGTCGCTGGCCTGCCTGTCTCCTTTGTGCCTAGTGACCAGTGTCTGCCAGGGAGCTCTGCGTGGAGGAGGGTGGCCAAGGTGGGGATCCACGCCCCCTCCAGGGCTGAGGCTATGATCTCCGGGCTGGACCCCAGCTGCCCCTGGAGCCACCCCACCACCGGTGTCCACGTGGCGCAGCCTGATGGAGAACGCGGGCCTAGGACAGAAGTGGGCACGCGCACAACACGGAGCGAACTTGAACTTGCCGTCAAACTGAGAGGCGGAACTCCTCCCGAGGGCTCAGGAGAACAATGAAAACAGCCCCCAGGGGCCAGCGGCAGGCTGCGGCAGGGGGCCCTGGAGCTAGCAGGGGGACGGGAGGAGTGGGGACCGCGTGGTGCAGTCCTCGGCCCCTGGGGTGGGCAGGGCGAGGCCCCGCAGGGCCCGCAGCACGGCCAGGGCCAGGCGCACCAGGAGGCGCAGCAGCAGGAAGGTGAAGGGCACGGCGATCTGTGTCAGGTGGAAGATGGCCGTGCTGAACCTGCTCAGGAAGCAGGTGGCGGCGAAGGCCAGCAGGCTGGCGCAGGGGTACAGCGCGAGCTTGGCGAACATGAATGCGTGCTCCTGGCCCCCAAACCGTGCTGAGGGCTGCAGCGTCTCCTCCTCGCGCAGCAAGGCCGTGGTCCAGATGGCAAACTGGAAGATGCTGGCGAAGAAGATGATGGCGCAGCTGACGCGCACGCTCTCCAGCTCGTCGTGGGGCCGCTGGGCGAAGGCCGAGGTCTGTTGGTAGGCCAGCGGGAGGCCGCCCACGAAGGCCAGTGACAGCGTGTTGAGCAGCCCCATGGACTGCGTGGCTTTGCGGATGTGCAGGAAGAGCGAGTGGTGGGCAAACCAGAGCAGGCCCACCGTGGCGAAGGAGCCAAAGTACGCCAGGAAGTGCGGCCCATACACGCTCAGCGCTGCCACCAGGCTGCCGTGGAACTTCTCCTTCACGTCCTTGGAGTCCGGGACGTTGTCCTCGCTGAAGATCGTCAACACACAGCATTTGTAACAGCCTCGACGTGGGGCAGCAGCCCCCACCCTGTCCTGAGCCCCGTTGGGGGGCTACACCTGGGTACTCCCAGGCACACTTGAATTTCAGATCAAGGGCATGGGTAGCTTTTGTTATGGTCTATATGCACGCTTAGTGTACTAAGCAATTACAGGTTCACCTGAAGTTCAAACTGAACTCCAGCCTGCACCTTCTTTGCTGACAGCCCAGGGCTGCTGAGCAGCCCTGGCCCCAAGCCCACGCCTGACACCCCCCCCAACCCCGGCCTCCACAGGTGGGTGCTCACGAGGTCTGTCCATCCATTTGGGCAGCGGTCCTGTAGACCTGAGGGGGGCTAGCCTCTGGCTCTCAGATCTGGGCTGCACTTTATTGTAAAGAGTAACTGTCGGGCACGTCTCAGGGTTCTCCCCTCCATGGATGTCCCTGAGAGCCTGCTGCCCTCGCGATGGGATGGAGGGAGCTTCCCGGGCTCGAAGGCAGGGGCCAGAGACAGAGCCTGGGGGTGCTGGCCCAGGTCCTTGGGCTGGTGGGTCTGAGGACAGGAAGGAACATGGCCACTTGGGCCCCCAGCCTTAGCCACCCTGTGCAGCCACTCAGCAAGGGAACTGGGGCTAGCATGGCCCTGGCCACAGGGCAGGCGTAAAGCCACATCACTCCGGAACCTTAGGTCTAGGACTCAGAGATCGATACCAGTGAACGTTTGCTCCCAATTTTTAAAAATTCACAAATTACATCAGCAAAAGCTATCAAGAAACAATTAGGAAAATGAAGCGTTTAGACCATCAGATACAAATGTAAAATAAGAGTGTTGTAACACATCCAACAAAATAAGAATATATTGAAATTAAACCAAAGAAAAGCCTCTAAAAAAGAATGGAAACTTTGGGGGGAAAAAGTAGATAAAACATTTACAAATAAAAATGCAGGAACTACAATTAGGACTTTGGCAGAAAGAAGAGGCAGGAGAGTGAAGGGAGAAAGGAGAACCGAGGGTGCGGAGACCAGGGTGGGGGTGGGGGGGGGACCGGGATTGGGAATGGGGGATGGGAAGGGGTGGGGGCAGGGGTGGGGATGGGAGAGGAAGGGGAGGTTGGCCTGGGGGCTAGGGCCACAGTGGGAGGAGAGAATGGAGGCGGGGGAAGCCCGCCCACCCCCATCTGCCCAACTTGGGGAAGGGAGAGTGACATGAGCCCTGCGTGTGGCCCCGGTGCCCCCGCCTGCCCCTGTGCGCCCCCATGGGGGTCCTGAGTTCTGGGGGGGGGCTCTGGCCAGGGTGGGACTCGTTCTAAGGGGAAGGTGGCAGCAGGAGGCTGCAGCACCCGCCTCTGTAGGGCTGGAGGAAGAGCAGCCTCCAGACAGGCGGGCCCTGGACCCCTTCCTCGGACCTGGGTCCTTACCAGATGTCCAGGATGAGGAGCGTGGCCACGATGGCATAGACCCCGTCGCTGAAGGCCTCCACCCGCTCCTTGCTGAGAGGCTCATGCAGGTCAAAAGTGAAGAACTCCACACTGTGAGCTGGGGGCTCTTGGGGGCCTGTGGAGGTGCCAGGAGGGAGGAGCTGGCCAGGGGCGGGGACTCCGGTCATGGGCGCCTGGGCCCTTCCCACGCTCCACAGGCCTGGGGGAGAGTGCCGAGGCCCCACACACCAGCCTGCCCACGCACCTACCCACAAGCCTGCCCTTGCACCAGCTGCAGGCCTTGCTGACGTAGGGGAGGAAGATGACCGTCGCCATCAGCAGGTACGACTGTGTGAGACACAGACATGTCAGGAGGCGACGTGGCACCCAGAAGCCACCCGCTCCAAAGGGATGGCAGCACCAGCAACACAAGGAACAGCTGAATTATACCTCATCAGGCTGAAAAGCGTGTGTGCGGCGAAGAGCACTTCCCGGGAGTGAAAAGGCAACTCACGGACCGGCGAGCGCGCACGGCGGACCACGCGGCGGCGGAGGGCCGGCGCCCAGGGCGGGGGGGACTCGGCCGCCTCCACGCAGACACGGCCCGGGCTCGAGCAGATGTTTCCCGGGAGACGCCGCCGGGCCGACCCTCTTTGGGAACCAGTGGGAACCACTAAGCCTCAGGGAGACGCAGACCGGGGCCAGCAGGAGACCCCGCCTCGCACCCGGGGCAGGCGCCGCAGACACGCGGAAGGCAGCGGGCTCGGCGAGGGCGTGGGGCCGCCGCGGGCCCGGGCGCCGTCGGTGGGGACGGACGATGGTGCAGCCGCCGCGGACAACTGGCGGCTCCTCAGAAATTCACCCAGAGAAGCCCCCTACGACCCGGGACGCCCGCGTCTGGCCTGGGCGTGCACCCAGCACCCAGAAGAGCCGAGAGCAGGGTGCGGAGGAGGGGTTCCCGGCAGCTGAGACGTGCAGGAGCCCAGGTGCGACCACGGACGGCGGGCAAGAGGCGCGGCCCCTCCGACGAGAGCAAGTCCTGACACGCGGGGTTACGTGAACCAACCTTGAAAACATGTTGGACAAAAGAAGCCAGACACAAAAGCCTCACGTTTTATGACTCCGCTTCCATGAACTACGCAGCACAGGCAAATCCACAGAGAAAGAGAGGAAGGAGACTCGTGGCTGCGGGGAGCTGGGTAGGGCGCCGGAAGCATTGCGGGAGGAGGTGGAGGGGTGGCTGCTCGGCACGGCTACGTGCACACGACTGCTGCCGCGGATGGTGCAGTTTACAGGGTACGTGGTGTGTGTTGCACCACACACACACCCAGTTATCTGTACAGGAAAGGGTGTGTTCCGGGCCCTGGCAGCATGAGGCCTCAAGGCTGGGCAGACCGGCAGGTCCCACGAGGGCTCTGCTCACCCTGTGGCTGCGGCGCCCACACAGCCGACACCCCTGCAGGTGGGCCCTCCCGCCGCCCCTGCCCCATTCCAGGCCTGTCCTCAATGGGGGGCTCCCCCCCTTCTGTCCTACAAGCCAATTACCTCAGGGCACCTGACGTGGGGAGAAGGCGACAATGCATGAAGTACAGTCAGGGGACAGTGGCGCACGGCACACAGACGGGAAGGCCAGCATCACACAGCTGCCGACAGCCCTGGCCGCGTCATGCAAGACACACGGAGGGACGTGCCCCCCAGGTGTGAAGCCGGGAGGAGGCCGGGGGTGGGCAGGCCCCGCGGGGTCAGCAGGGGGGAGCCACAGGGGAGGAGGAAGCCCAGCCTGGGGCTGAGGAGACCAGGAAATGATACAAGGGGCCCCTACTGGAAGCTGGCAGGAGAGGCCCAATGCAGAGTCCCCAGAGCGCCACCACTGCAGGAAGGTGGCCAGACCGGGAAGGCCCGGGCCAGGGTGGTGAGAAGGGCTGGACCCAGAGGGTGAGCCCAGCACAGCATGTGGCCGAGGGAAGGGGGTGGCGAGGCTGTCTGGGAGGATGGAGCCCATGGGCTTCCTGGGGGGCAGGGAGCTTGCATGTGTGGTCTCCCAGGTGGTGGCGGGCGGTGGGCTCCGGGTGAGGAGGTGAGGGGACAAGGGGTCAGAGCCACACCACAGGGAAGAGGAAGGCAGGCTGATGGGCAGGTGGGTGGGGGTGGACACGCAGCGGACTGCTCCATCAGTGCCATGGCCTGACTGAGCCCGCCCTCTGGACCTGGCCACTGGACCTGCTGACCACTTGGGCACCCCCCCCCCAGCCCTCCTCTTCCCGTTTGGTGGCTGAGATGTCCCCTCCCCCCTGCCATCATGGCACCAGAGTACGGTCACTGTCCAGGCTCCTCAAGGACCCAGTGGACACTGCCCACTCAACCAGGCTCCTGGCCCACGCCTCGGCAGTGGGCATGGCCTGCCCTGGTCTTCAGCTCTGCTGTCTGGGCCGCCCATACCACACCCCAGCTGTCCCTCCATTCTCGACAATGACCTTCATCATCCCTTAGCCCCTGACTTTGTCCAACCAACACTGGCCATCGGCCACCCTGAGCGCACGGCCGAGACTGCCCCACCTGCAACCAGGATGTGTACATGGTCTCGGGCCTGCTGCCCCTTACCCCCGCTAATGCAGCCCCCTTGCTGGCCCTGCCCTGCCCACCGGGAGCCACCCACCACAGGCTACAGCCAAGAACGCCCTGCCTGACCCCAAGCACCCCTGCAGCGTCCCTCCTACCAGCACCCCTGCAATTCAAACATGCTCAAGACTAAGGAGACCAAGCAGAAGCCCGAGGCCGCCCTTCACCTCGCACATCAGCCTGGGCCTGACCTCGGGGCACCAGCCCCGCACCTCCCTTACTCTACCCTCCCTTCGCCTCGCACACTCCCCCACTCTGCCTGCCCTTCACCTCGCACACCAGCCTGCTCCTCCCCTACTCTACTCTCCCTTCACCTCGCACATCAGCCTGCCTGCCTGGGCCTGACCTCGGGGCACCTTGCAGGCTTCGCCCCCAGCCCCGAGGATGCAGCTCTGTCCTCGAGAGAACCATGCTCTGCAGTGGCTTTTGCCTACTTGTTTCAAACTTGGAATTCTCTTGAAATGTTTACTAGACATTTTAAATAACATCAACCTTTTTTTTTCATAATTATGAGGCTCTGGTTCTAGAGCTTCCCTGTACTTCATGAGCGCTCAGGTAAAGGCACGAGTCATGCATAAATCTTCCACAATCAACTCTGACACAACTGCTTGTCAGTATTTCCCTGAATTTCTGTAAGACGTACTACCAGAACAATATTCTCATTAAACTGGCTGATGGCTACAGGCACCAGGTGGCTCGGTGGTTGAGTGGCCAACTCTTGGTCTTGGCTCAGGTCATAATCTTACAGTTCGCGGGATGGAGGCCCAAGGCAGGCTCTGTGCTGTCAGCCCAGAGCCTGCCTGGGATTCTCTCTCTCTCAAAATAAACAAACGTTAAAAAAAAAATTAGCCAAGGGGCGCCTGGGTGGCAGACGATTAAGCGTCTGACTTCGGCTCAAGTCATGATCTCACGGTTCGTGGGTTCGAGCCCCACGTCGGGCTCTGTGCTGATGGCTCAGAGACTGGAGCTGCTTCATATTCTGTGTTTCCCCCTCTCTCTGCCCTTCCCCAACTCACGCTCTGTCTCTCTCTCTCAAAATAAACAAACATTAAAAAACATTAGCCGATAGCTGAAGGGCACTAGCCAACCTTGATTTCTGTGACTTGGCCGACACAGAGTTCGTGCATCCCCTGGAAGTTTAGTGGTGCAGAGTCCAGAGCGCCGAAGACTGAACCAGAAACATCCGTGTGAAGCATCCTGACTTCTGGCCACACCCAGGTTTGCCTGGGACCCAGCTCACCTCATCCGGGCCCCAAAATGGGGCTCCTTCTGTCAATAGCCTCGCCTCCGTTTTCTCCACTTTTCAGTTTCCTTTAGTTCAGGAATTTTCTTTCTTGGCTTTCTCTGGGTGGTTCATACCCTCCACGCACATCTTTAGGACAGGCACGCTCTGCCCACCTCCCCATGTGCTCACGCAGGTTCATCAATGTCCTCCTGAGGTGCCTCTTGCCAGCTGTCATGGCAACGCTGCTAGGGCCCCCCCACCCCTGCCACTGCCAGGGCAGTGCTGGTTGCCCGGGCGGCTTTGTGTGCAGTGTAGACCTCTCCTTACCACGGGAACAAGCACGGCCCAGGCTCTGCCTAGGCGGCTCTGTGTGGGGTGCAGACCCCTCCTCACCGCTGGAACACGAGAACAAGCACAGCCTGGCTCTGGGCACCCACAACTCTCCCCACTGGTCTTAAAGCTCCGCCCACTCAGGGAAACCGTGGGTGAGTCGTGGCCCACTGGCTGCCCCCATGTGACCAGGTGTTTCACCAGGCCTGGCTCTGACTGTGGTACGTGTTCACTGGCAGAGCAGGTCCCCACAGCAGAGGGGCAGGAGGAGGGCCCTTCCCTCCAGCTGTGTTCCCTGACACCCTGGGCACCAGGCCAGGTGCTGCCCGCTGGCCCCTGGGGACTTTTGCACAGCTCTGCACCCCCTCCCTGGTAGTGCCTCCCCCGGACCCCCTCCTGGGGGCGACTGCTCGGTGAGACGCCACCCCTGCCCGCACCCCTGCCCCCTCCACTCACCAAGGGGTAGAAGAACAGGGAGAAGCCAGCAGCAGCGAAGCATAAGGCCGGGCCCCTGAGGACAATGCCCAGGATGTGCTGCCGGTACAGGGCCCTGTGGGCGGAGCACTCTATCTGGGGGTTCAGGAGGTGGGGGAAGTGGAACGCATACACCACGATCAGCGCCTGTGGGAGCGGCAGGATGCAGGCCATGGGCAGAGGCCTCTGGCCAGTAACCCCCTCCCACCCGTGTGCATGGATAGGAGCCTCAGGGGTGGGGACCCCAGAGAGGAAGGTTCAGCTGGGAGCCTCCCCACGGGGTGTCCTGGTGGGTGGGAAGAGGAGACAGGAGCCCTGGCTCTGTTCCTGGGGCTGCTATGGGGGTCTCCCGGAGCCCTGCCCCATCAGTCAAGTGCCTCAGGGCACTGGGTGGCCCCATGCCTCCCTCCCGCCGGGTGGGCACAGAGTCTGGCTCGGAGAACCTCGGGATCTGTCCTGCTGCCGCCTGCGGCTCTCACTGCAGCCAACACGCCACATCCTATGCATGTGCACACTGTGTGCCCCGGGGGGGCGAGCGTGTGGGGAGGGGGAGGCGGGCTGGGGTGTCCTACCTGCACGGCCCCGATGGCAATCACACACATACAGAACAGGAAGATGCCCAGAGGCACCTCGGGGAAGGTCACCATTAAGGAAAACTGCAGCCAAAGAGATAAGACAAAAGCAGGTTGTGCAGGGCCCCGGGGCCCCAGGAGCCTGCTGTGTCTTGGCCTCGCTGTGCACACTGGGTCATAGGGCCATCTGGGGGTGGGGCAGTGCCAGACCCGGAGCAATTCCACACAGCGCTTTAAGCCTTTAAAGCTGAAATGTCATCAAATTCATGAAGAATTCTCTGTGGCTCATGGCCCCGCACGCCCAGAGCACTGTCCCGTCAGGACTGAGGGCGGTGCAGGCAGGCGTGAACAGGGAGGCCAGGCTGTGGAAGAGCCACTGCCTGAGGAAGTGTGGGGGCCACAGGTTGGGGAGGGGCCCAGGACGGGAGGAGGTAGTGAGGTGGGGGCCGTGCGGGGGCTGGGAGCATCGTTAGGTATGGAAGGAATGCCCCTTACTGGACCCTTAGAGGCTGAGCTGGCCTCTCCCCCTTCAACCAGCCTGGAAACCCTAGGTGTGTCCCACCCCAAAGCAGACCTGGCTGCCGCTGGCTCCCCTGGCACCTTCCTCCTCTGTGCAACTCTGTGGTGGGGCCTTGGACCACCCGGCTGGTCTGAGAGTTTCTGAGGAGGGAGCATCCTGGGTCTTGAGTCCTCCTGCCCAGCGGAGGGCAGGCTGGACCCAGTGGGAAAACTGCAGGTACTTACAGTGAATGGTAGGAAAGTGATGGTCATCATGCAGGCCTAGGAGAGGGGAGGGGGGAGGGGGAGAGGGTTAGGAACAGTGGGAAGGCAAGCAGGCCACCCCAGAGGCATATCATGGTCCAACTCCTAGATCCCAGGGAAGTTCAGCTCATGCTCTCACCACCCAACGAAGAGGGGAGGGGGCTCATCCTAGGAGTGGGGGGTGGGCCCCAGGCGGTGCCCCCGGGTGGGTGTCATGTGAGGAGCCCAGAGTCGGCAGTGGGCCCCAGGAGTGGCGGGTGGGCCCAGGGGGTACAGGGGTTGGTAAGGAGCCCAGGAGTCAGGGGTGGGCCCCAGGTGTGGCGGGTAGACCCTGGCGGTGGGAAGGCGCCCAGGAGTCGGGGGTGGGGCCGGGGGGGACGCGGGGGTGTATATGAGGAGTCCAGGAGTCGGGGGTGGGCCCCAGGAGTGGTTGGTGGGCCTGGGGGGGCACAGGAGCCCAGGAATCGGGGGTGCACCCCAGGAGTGGCAGGTGGGCCCCGGGGGGCAGGGGTGTGTGTGTGTGAGGAGCCTAGGGATCAGGGGTGCACTCCGGGTTCAACACCAGAGGCTCCAGAGGCTGAGCACTTGCTTGCCTCCTCCTGGGAGGGCGGGACTATGAACATAATCGTTTCTCAAGAACGGAAAACAACTCACCAGGTTGAGCAAGGCAAGCGTGTCGTCTATCTTACCAACAACCTGGAACAGTCTAAACAATGTAAGACAAACAAGACGTGCCATCAATCAAGTGGTTCTAATAGCATCTCACACGTGTTTCAGCATTTGTGGATTAAAAATAACCGTAAAATATGTCATTTTTAATAGAATTTAAAATACTACCCAGTGTACAAAGTTTGGAAGAGACTGAAAAGACAAACAAAAAAAACAACCAAGTTCCCCAGAAATCGTGCTGTTCACATTTCCACGAGCCCTTCTGACTTGAAGCACGTGGCTTCAGAGCCGGGATTCCCGTGTGGAAACCAAAGAGGCACGTGGTGGCTCTGGGGACGGTGGAGCAGAGAACGCACGCCCAGGAGATGTCCCCTGGTTGCCCTGGAAGACTGCAAAGTGGCAGGGAATACTTTCTTCAGGTCTCGTGCCCAAAGGCTACTTTTAACAAAGGAAATCCTTTCTAAGGTGTCATACGCTTAACCTACTGAAGCAGCCTAATTAACAGAGAGATGGTTTTTATTTCGAGGCAGGAAACCATGAACAGAAAACTAAACACAGGGAACATGAGCAAAGCTCACCAAGGGTCAACATAGGAGCTGGAAACAAAAATCCTTTTCCCTGCTCTCCTCGCCCGGCCCCTCCATGGAGCCCCCCTTCAGAGGGGTCAGAGGACAAGGCCTTCCCTTGGACAAGGCTCAGTGGGCCTCAGTGCCCCCACCTTGGAGATCTGCATCTGGCCAGGGCTGACTCTGAGGCCGTCCACTCCCCTACAGTCAGAGAAAGGGGCGCGTCCCTCAGGGACAGCAGCCCCACTGGCCACCCACTGAGCCTGGGGGGCGGGCACTGCCACCAGGGCCCTGGGTGGCTCTCTGCCCACTCCAGGAACTCCGGCAGCGGGGTGTGGCCTTTGAAAGCCGGTGCACACATGAGGTGCTGTGTGGCCCTGTCGGTGCTGCTGGAGCCACAGGGAGCTCAGCCGTATGTGCCACCTGCCTGACTGGGCAGAAGGCAGCTGTGGCCCCCTCCTCACTCTGCGTGGACAGGGGAGCCCCCAACCCTTTGCAAAGGGCCAACCGTCCTTACCAGAAATGGTCATTTTGCTGAAAACAAGTATGTAATGTAACATTAAAAAAAATGCTTTTTAAATATTTATCATTTGTTTTGAGAGAGAGTGCGAGCAGGGGAGAGGCAGAGAGGGAGAGGGACAGAGAATCCCAAGCAGGATTTGTGCTGTCAGCATGAGCGTGACTAGGGGCTCGAACTCATGATCTCTGAGGTCATGACCTGAGCTGAAATCAAGAGTTGGACCCTCAACCGACTGAGCTGCCCAGGTGCCCCTAAATCGTTGAAAACCTTTTCACTGCCACTGCCAGTGTGTGGACGGCTCCTAGGTCTCCCTGTGTACCCACCGTTCCCCAAGCAGGAGGGTCTCCTCAGCAAGGGCTCACACCCCACCCCAACCCTCTCCCCGGAGCCCACCTGCCTGCCTCCCCTGCGACTCGGGGCTCTGCCGAGAAGAGCCCTTCTCTTCTCCTCCTTAAGAGAAAGTTCTGGCTTGGGAGCGGGCACCCTGTGGCCTCTTCCTCCTTGCTGGAGCCCCAGGACCGGGCAGAGGGACCATGAGAACAGCGCCCCGGTGTTGCAGGGGTGCGTGGGGCAGTCAGCTCACAGCCCTTTCCCCGCCCAGCCCCGGGTGCGTGGCCACTCAAGTGCGTTACCCTGTGTCACCATCCCAGGCCCTGTCGTAGCGTGGGGGGGGTGGGAGGGGGAGAGGCCTGCAGCGAGAATCTGGGGTGAAGTGAGGCCCACTGACCCAGGAAATGAGGGAGGGGCCACCAGACACCCTGAGAACAGGCGTCTTGTCGGCATCCTGAGCGCACGCCTGCTGCCAGGACCCCGGCCAGGCTGGGACCTGTACCACTGGGTGCACAGAACGAGCCACAGAGATGTGGGCCTCAGCCCGGAAGAAGCCCCCCAGTCTGACTCCGTCCGTACCTTGTGTGTGCTGCCCAGGCCACAGTCACAATGAGAAACGTCATCAGGTAGACAGCAATCCTGGTTGCTAGAAGTTTCTGTAAACTTTTGTCAAACTGGAGGACCAGAAGAGCACCACCATCAGAGACTGCTTCAGTCCACGGTAGCCGGTGGTCCCGTCCAGGGCGCTGGGACCCCAACACCTCTGAAGGGCCTGGCGGTTCCCACTTCCCCTTCAGGTTCAGCCTCCACCCTAGCCCTGACCGAGGTTCCTCTTCTGGGCAGCCTCCCCGCCCCCCGCTGCACAGCACCAGTGCCCCACGGTCCATCGGTGCATTTCTGGGGATCTGGTATGGGGCTTCCGTGACGTGCCAGCTCTTGAGGCCACTCCCGAGCCGGCAGGGCGCTGAAACAGCTGTGAGGCCTGGCGAGGCTGCCGGGAGGCCTCCCCCGGTCAGAGGGGCTCGCAGGCACAGTGGGGAAACAGAACCGGGCTCAGCACAAAGCTGGGACCCTTGGAATCGCGAGAAGGGATCTGATGCTTCATCAGCAAAAACTCAAAGTGGAAAACTGACCCCGTCACCACTTCAGCTGGTTTTCCACCTGCACCTGGGCGTGTCACCCAGGACCCCAGGATCCCACCAAGGACTCACGGCTTTTGAATTGCTGAGTCTCCCGGGCCCTGACTAGTCTTTCCTACTCGTGGGGAGGAGCACATGCCCGCTGACACCTCCTTCTGAAGGAGTCCCCAGGCCACCACGCCACCTTCTGGTTCCGTTAGCACACAGATGCCTCACAACAAAAAAGTGCTGCTTTTCAAGAAGACACGCCCATGTGCAGACGTGTGATCGTCCACACACCTTCCCCAGTCTCCTCCCGCTCCCACAGCCACACCCCCATGACAGCAGTGGCACTGAGATCTCCGACCTGGGGCAAGGGTCCCTCAGAGAAGGCCCTGGTGCAGGTGCAGCCAGGTGAGTGCCCCCACCGCCCAGCCGCTGATGCTGGCTGCGGTTTCCAGGATAGACCCGCATTCCCCTTTCATTCCCCTCAAGACCCTACCAGAGGTGCTGCCGGCACCTTCCCACAGACGACGCGGCTCCCGATCCCCAACAGCACCCCGGCTAAGCGAGCCGGCCGGGACGGGAGCCCAGCCCACAGCACCTCACACCCTCAGTGCCCTGAGACTGAACACCACCCCCGTGGAGTGAGGGGCTGAGTGAGGCACACATGCACGCCGCCCGCCACCCAGGGGCTTTCAAGTGTCTTCCAAAACCGTGGCCAGCTGCTGAGGCGCTACGTGTCACTACTTAACTCGCGAGACAGAAGTACTCCAAGCTGGCTGTACAGGGAAAGCTGCTTTAGAGAATCCAGTTTCCCACTCACTGCATGATAAATCCACATGTCCCCGTGCGCCGAGGAGGCCCAGCTGGGTGCATCTCCCCTCGGCCCCTGAACACCTACGAGGGAATGGGCTTCCGTGCCAACCAGAAGCCTGTTGGCCGCACCTTCCGTCCTCAGCCGGCCCTCAAGGCTCACTTCGAGGACACTGCCTCTGTCTGCAGCCAAGGTCGGGGCCGACCAGGGGTGCTGAGGGAAAGCCTTGCCCCAATCCTCCCAGCCAGGCACATCTTGGGTGGAGCCTAGAGGTGGGCTCGTGGACGGAGTCTCCTGCAGGCTCACCCTGGACCCGGCAGACCACCACTCGCAAGTACCTGTTCCGGGGAGATCTCCGTGTGGGTCACAGGCAGGATCTGTGAGAGTAAACACACAAAAAGAACCAGGGGACATTGCTTGGGCTGTGCAAAGACCACCCCTTGGAGGACATGGTGTCGGGGACTCGGGCCAGTGCTGGACCGCACTCCCCCACCTGTCCAGCTGCCCAAGTGGCCGAGGGACCCCAGGACACTGCTGAGACAGGGCAGGGTCTATGCGGGGCCCAGCTCTACCAGGAGGCGGCCTTGAGAGGGCGTGGCCAGGAGGAATGGTGGGGAGGGCTCTGGGGGGCACACGGACCATCACAGTGGCGATGATGGACAGGAGTGCGTCGCTGAAGCTGAGCATGCGGTGCGAGTGTTGGATCCCGTCACCGGTGTCCTCGCCCCCGGTGCCCGTGGGGGAGTCTTCTTGTGCGGGGCGGGCCGGCTCTGGGGTCTGCGGTCGGGACATGGCGGGGCCTGGGAGGAAGCACAGGTCTGAGCAGCCCAGAGTGCTCCTGAGGGCTTCTGCAGTGATACACGGTGGACTGGTGGCTGGAAGGACCCACCCCGAGGGGCAGGAAGAGCCCCCCGCTGTCCTCTCCCAGGAGCGCCGGGATCCCCAGCCTACAGGAAGAGCACCACCTCACCGCCGAGCACTGTCTTCTGGGAGCCAGGCTCTGTGCCTGTTCCCCCCCGGAAATGGGGGAAACAAGAAGGCACACGCATGCTGCGTCTCTAACCGCTGTGTCACCAGCCAGAAGCCCTGACCCCAACACCATTGCGCCACTAGACACTTTCGTCCTAAACGTGGGCTGTTCTCCCATCCAAGTACTAACCAGGCCCAACCCTGCGTAGCTTCGGGGACCAGAGGAGACTAGGCGTGTTCGGGGGGGCGTGGCCAGACACCAAATGTGAGATGTTCTATGTGACCAAGTCCCAGAGGCTGGCACTAAATGCCAGCCCTGCCCTTGACAAGACACAACAAAAACACACCCCACCCCCAGAACCAGATAAAGAAGGCCTACTGGCTTTTTCCGGCCAAGAGAAACAAATTGTGAATAAACAGAAAGGATATTCAGCTTCATTACCAACTGGGGAAAGACAAGTGAAAACAACGAGGTACCACTACCATTGCGGTAAAGGGTGTCGCATCCACTTGGACACAACACCGTGACACGTACACCCACAAGGGGGCAGTGCCATTTCCAGGCGTAGCGTCAGGTGTGTGTGTGAAGAAACGGATGCCCCGGAGCGCGCTGGTGCGCAGCTTACTTGGTAAGCGTCAACCCCAGCCTATTACTGAATGCTGAATGAACTGTTAAAAAGTGCTATGAACTGAATGTTTGCGTCCCCCAGAGCCTTATGTGGAAGCCCTACCCCCCACCATGGATGGCGCCAGCAGGGGGACCTTTGGGAGGGGATGAGGTCACATGAGGTCATGTGGGTGGGGCCCCGAGACGGCACCGGTGTCCTCACAGAAGAGGGGGAGAGGGGACGGGTGTCTCTGTCCTCCCTGTGAGGACACAGCGAGAAGGCGGCCGTCTGCAGGTCGCCACCTTGACCTCAGACTTTCAGCCTCCAGACCCGTGAGAATGAAATGTCCGTCGTGTAAGGCCCCAGCCTGGGGGCTTTAGTGAGGACGGTCCGAGTGAACAAAGGCAGTGAAGTGAAACAGAGCTACATGTATAAAACTCAGAAACACGATGTTGAGAGGAATAAATCATGCTGCAAGAAGATACACATACTATTACACCATTCACATAAACGCTTAGAACATCAAGGCCATCTGCTCACCTTGTGATCACACAAACGCACAGTAAGATGAAAACATACACAAGAACAGCACTCACCAGCTCAGGACACAGCCCTGTGACCACTCAGGCCAGGGGGGTGGACTGGGGCGGGGCTGCGGCGGTGTCCAGAGGGCACTTCTCACCATACCCGCTGCTTACAGCTTGTACACAGTAGAGGGCGCCCCTTCTGGTGTGCAGTTCTGCCAACCACTGACAGGTGCACACAGGTGTGTAACCAAGACCACAATCACAAAGCGGCTCTGTCCCCAAGCAGGCCTTCTGTGGCCAGCCTTCCTTCATCCCAAACCCTGTCCACCACTGTGCTTCCCGTTACCACCAATTTGCCTTTTCCAAATTGTCCCAGAAATGGACTCACATCCCATGGAATCTTGGGTCTGGCTTCTTTCACTTAGCATGATCCACTTGGGATTCACCCATGTTTTGGGGGAGCATCGACATTTTTTATTGCTGTGTTGTTAATGCTACTGGATGGCTGGACTCTGTTCATCCAGTCACTAGCTGGAAAATGTGGGTTATTTCCAGTTTGGGTGGTCATGAATAAAGGCATTGTAAATACTTGCACAGAGGCATTTGTGTAAACGTGTTTTTATTCCTCTAAAGTACCTCAGATTGCATCTGCTGGGTAAACACACATTTCACTTTATAAGAAACTGCCAGGGGCACCTGGGTGGCTCAGTGGGTTGGGCGACTGACTTTAGCTCAGGTCATGATCTCACGGCTTGAGTTCAAGCCCCACGTCGGGCTCTGTGCTGACAGCTCAGAGCCTGAAGCCTGCTTCGGATTCTGTGCCTCCCTCTCTCTCTCTGCCCCTCCCCCATTCGCGCTCTCTCTCTCTCTCTCTCTCTCTCTCAAAAATAAACAAACAAAAAAGAAACTGCCAAACCACTCACCCACACAGCTGTGCCATTTGCACCCCTACCGGCAGCACATGAAACTGCAACTTGTCCTCATCCTCCCCAGCACTTAGTTTGGTAGGAGTTTTTATTAACTGTTTTTTTTTTTTTTTAATTTGAGAGAGGCAGAGAGTGAGTAAGCACGGACCAACATGGGGGTGGGCGGGGCAGAGACAGCGGAGAGACAGAGGAGAAAGAAAATCCCAAGCAGGCTCAGAGCCTATTGCAAGGCTCAATTCCATGACTCAGGGATCATGACCTGAGCTGAAATCGAGTTGGACACTCAACTGACTAAGCCAACCAGGCACCCCTAGTTTGGCAGGGCTTTTTTTTTTTTTTTTTTAAATTAACCTTCATATAGTCTGGCTAAAAAGTTCTTTGTCAGATATGTAATTTGCAAGTATCTCTTCACAGCCTGTGGCTTGTCTTTCATTCCCTTACCAGTCTTTAAAACAGAAGTTTTAAATTTTGATCAAGCCCAACTCAACAACTTTTCTTCCAAGGAGCATTCTTTCGATGTCATATCTAACAACGCTTTGCTTAACTCAAGATTGCAAAGATTTCCTTTTTTCTTCTAGGAGTTTTAAAGTTTTAAAACTAATTAAAATTAGTTTTAATTTCAGTGTACGATAGATTTTGTTTTTTTTAAGCTTTTTGTATGTTTTGAGAAAGAGAGAAAGCATGAGTAGGGGAGGGGCAGAGAGAGGGAGGGAGAAAATCCCAAGCAGGCTCTGCACTAGCAGTGCAGAGCCTGACAGAGGCCTTGAGCTCACAAACTCATGAGATCATGACTTGAGCCAAAGTCACACGCTTAATCGACTGAGTCGGTGCCTCCTGAGTCAGGTGACCCCCAGCTTCGTATTAAATCTTGATATCTGGTAGAGTGAGTCCTTCAGCTTTGGTCTTCTTTTTCAAAATTGTTCTGAATAATTTAGTTCTTGTGTCTTTCATTCACATGCTTCTGCTCACAGGGCACCTTTTCACAGTTCCTCTAGGCAAAAAGATGGGGTTTCTCAGAGTGTTTGCTGTCTGTGCAGCAGCAGCAACCCTCACAGCACAGCCCCAGCGGAGGGCAGGCCGAGAGCCAAAGCAAGGGGAGAAGGGGATTTTGAAAAGTAGAAAACTCACACCTGCGTGGGTCATGCTCCAAGTGTCAACTCCCCTCACCAATCTATCCGCACTACATAGTTTTTCTTTTAATATTTTGTCTGGGTTTATACCTGTAATCAGCAGGAGAGAACGTCAGTAGGTGGCTTACTCCATCATGGCCAGCACTAAACTCTAACACTTTACTTCTCAAAAGGGAGGGGAAGAGACAGGAGAGGGCAGGGGAAGGGGGGTTGGCAAGGAGACAAAATTCATGCTGACAAAAATAAGACAAAAGGTCCTACACTGTTGGTGGGAATGTAAACTGGTACAGCCCCTCTGGAAAACAGTGTGGAGGTTCCTCAGGAAACTAACACTAGAACTCCCCTATGACCCAGCAATAGCACTGCTAGGAATTTACCCAAGAGATACAGAAATGCTGAGGCATAGGAGCACATGTACCCCAATGTTCATAGCAGCACTCTCCACAATAGCTAAAACATGGAAAGAGCCTAAGTGTCCATCCACAGATGAATGGATCAAGAAGATGTGGTTTATCTATACCATGGAATACTACATGGCAATGAGAAACAATGAAATCTGGCCATGTGTAGCAACATGGATGGACCTTGAGGGTGTTATGCTGAGCGAAATAAGTCAGGCAGAGAAGGACAAATATATGTTTGCACGTATAGGAGGATTAGGAGGAACTTGACGGAGGAACAAGGGGGAGAAGAAGGGCGGAAATGGTGGGGGAAAGGGAGAGAGGCAAACCATGAGAGACTCTTGAATGCTGACAAAAACTGAGGACTGATGGATGTGGGGGGGAGGGGGGATGGGCATGGAGGAGGGCACTTGTGGGGATGAGCACTGAGTGTTATGTGGAAACTAATTTGACAATAAACTATTTGTAAAAAAAAAAAAAAAGACAAAAGGTAACGTGTTTCTTTTTTTTAATTTTTTTTAACGTTTATTTATTTTTGAGAGAGAGAGAGAGAGAGAAAGAGAAGTCAGAGCATGAGTGGGAGAGGGACAGCAAGAGAAGGAGACACAGAATCTGAAACACAATCCAGGCTCTGAGCTGTCAGCACAGAGCCCGACGCAGGGCTCGAACCCACAAACCGTGAGACTGTGACCTAAGCTGAAGTTGGACGCTTAACCAACTGAGCCACTAAGGTGCCCCAAGGTAACGTGTTTCTTCAGGCACTAATTTTGGGAAACATATATCCATTACATTGTTTTTCAGATATTTTTTATGTGTTCAAAATTTTCTCAAATATTATTTTTTTAAAAACCAGTAAATATTGAATATAGACACAAAAATTCTCAACAAAATGTGAACAAATGGAATCCAGCAACGTATAAGAAGGAGTATATACCACAACCAAGTGGGATTTATTCCAAGAATGCAAGGTTGATTTAAAATAGAAAATTAATGGCTGTAATATACCATATCAAAGGAACAAAAAACAAAAACTACACAATCATCTCGATGCAGAAAAAGCATTTGACAAATTCTAACACCTCTTCATGATAAGAACATTCAACAAATTACGAATATAAGCAAACTCTGTCAACCTCACAGATGGCATCTACAGAAACCGCGCAGCTGGCATCATACTCAGCAGCGGAAGGCTAACCGACCTCTGTCTCACAATCAGGGACAAGGCAACACTGTTCCGCA